TGGTTTCTTGGGATCACCTTTAGCCATCCTGACTGTGATGGATGAAGGCAGAGAGACAAAGAAAAACAAATACAATGACTAAAACAGACCTAGGAGACATACCAAAGGCAGAGCAAAATTAAAATTAACGTTGCCATGAGGAAGCAGCCCCCCACCCAATGCCTGATGCCACTGGCAGCTGAAGGCAGAGTCGGGAGGAAATCAGCTTCACTGTCGCTTGTCATTTAACTTTTGACCAGCATGAAGCGCGCTGGTTTGCGAGTTACTTCTCCGAGAGCGATCAAGTTCTCCAAATGGAACCGACCCAAGTGGGGTGGCTGAGCGCTACATTCCGATTCAGAGCGACTGCTACGCTTTGAAAACTACAACCACAAACTGGGAAGGGCGTGGGGAGGACACCTTTGTAGGGGTGCGGGCGGATGCCAGAAGCTTGAGACCAATGACTTAAGGCTAGCTGTCAGCTGTTTAACTCCTGTGTTACAGACAAAAATATGGTCACCGCTGCTACACGCGAGATCAAAGCAGAACTGTAAATAGGGAACATTTGAAATTTCACTATTGTTGACGCGTTTTTGGCTTATAAAAATGGCTTTTGCAAGAAAGGTGATCTGGCAAGTGAGCAGCTATCCCTGTACTAGTAGTTCAAATCCGTCACTTTGTCATTATCTAAAGGGGGAGGGGATGCCAAAAGGGCTAGTCTTGCTCATCTGTAAAGCGGAACGCATGTCCAGCCAGGAATACTTTCTCCAAAGTTTCCAAATAAAAATGCAGCTGTGGCGTGTCATCGTCCCTGTCCCACCCCCCCAGCTTCCCGCCATCTTTTCCTTTTCCCACACCCAAGGTCATCATGTAAAACTAAAGCGCTCCCCTTTGCAAGGACCGACCGAGGGGCTGCGTTAGGGCCCCGCAGTGGCTGTGCGGGTGGGGCGGGACGGGGCGCAGGGGAGCCCGGGGCTGGCAGCGGGCAGCCGGGCTCGGCCCCGTGCTGGGTCACCCGGACACCCATAATTCACCTTCCATTTTGTCAAAAGCTTCCTGATGAAAGAAACTGCCCCTGAAATCCCCCGCTGCCACCCCCGGGGGGTGCGCGGGGCCGGGGGCGGCGATGGCAGCAGCGCGCCGAGGGCGCGGAGCCGGGCCGGCAACGGCGGCGGCGGCGGCGCCTGCCGTGCCTCCGAGCCCCGCTCGCTAAAATGGCTGAACCGCGCGCGGCCGGCGCAGGCGGCGGCGGCAGCGAACAAAGCGGTCCCGGCCCCGCCACCGCCACCGCCACCGCCGCCGCCGCCCGCTCGCCGGCCCCCACCCCGCCCCGCCCCGCCCG